AAAATTCAGGTTTTTATGCATCTGTGTTATACATTGAATTTTATAGAAAAAAAAAAAAATAGAAAAAAGGTTGAGCCAAACATACTCAAAAGGTGCAGGCTCATCTTTGAGCACACCATTTCCCTTTTCTTTCACCAGTTCACCCCACTTCTTCCATCAGTCCACACTTTCTTTGCTTTCTTTTTCTCATCGTCATCTCCTTTCCTATCGCCATGCAGGTTTTCCTGCTGTGTCTAATAGGAGCTAGCAGCAGTAACACTTACACAGCTTATTGGCTAATTTGTATCACGTATAGCCTGGCATGTGTGTGTGTGTGTGTGTGCAGTTGACAGGGGGTGACATATGAATGAATTGCTAAGGCAAGGATAGCTTTTCGATAGAACATGTTGCTTGTACATTTGTTTGTTGCTTGTTGCTCTGTCTAGGTTGATCACGTGTGACAAGATAGTATGACATCCAACATCCGGAGTGCTATTATATTTCTATCCATCATTCCCCACCATGTTGATTAAGCTGCTTTACTTTTAACTTGTATTTGACCCCGTTTTGATGAAATTTTTGGGGCAATTCTGTGACGCTGGCCATGGTGCTGAAATAGCATAAACTGAAATGGCACAACCTATCATAAACCGTGCTTTTTCTATTTTGCCATTCTGAGTGTGTTAACACTCATTACTGCTACACACTGATTAGTTGTGTCCCACAGGCTGTCACTGGACAGTGTCAGATTTTGCTTGTTTTACTCAATATGTCGCCATTTACAAAGCAGTTTGTTTTTATTTGTTTGTTTGTTTGTTTTTTTATATGACTCCACCTTATATTTTGATGGTTCAAATGTGTTTCTTTTCATTTTTTAAGCTAAATCCATTCATTTAGTCTTTTTTTTTTTTTTTTTGGCTGCAGCCAATTACAGCTCAGATCAAGAATATTACCCTAAAACATATAGATAAATACTAGGTCTTAAATTTCTTAAGGGCAGCCTATAAGTCTCAGTAACATAGTCTGTGTGGCTGAAGGACTGAAATAAGTAAACTTTTTATAAAATAAACTAATTTTATTGAATGTCTATAGCCTCTATGGTTGAAGGACTTAGCTGGATGATTATAGAAAAGCAAATAGTATCCGGGGCCATATTAAAACTTTGATAAAATAAAGATGACTTTTTTATTTCCTGGTTTTACAATAAATATCCCTTTGTGATCAGTTTCCACTATATTGATCTCAATGTTCATCTCTGAATTCCCACTACTCCTGCTGCTGTAGAGGTCTTTCTCCCAAAAACACTGATGGCAGAATCTCTGCTCAGTCGTGTTGTGTGGCTCATGAAGCAGGAAAAGTGAAGACCAAAAAAAAAAACATGTTATTATTAGGGACTGAATTTGTCATCACTTTAGTAATTTAAGTCTAAACGGTTTCTTTTTGCGTGGGTCAAACACTAGAGGGCACTGTTGTGTTCAGATGAAAGGTTGGCTTGTGGATTTTTGCAAGTGGTAATATTGGAGCTGAATACATCTAGTGTACCGCAGTTTAAAAGCTATTTGATAAAAGTTCTTATTGAAGGTGAATACGGTTCTTCAGATACCTGCTGTGGAAAGAAAGTATTTAGCAATTGCTTATTGATCATTATTTAGTCCTTCTTTGCAGGGCAGGATCCAGCATAACATCATGTAGTTATTGCCTGTTGTTATAACAAGTCCACCCAAAAATGTGGTGCCTTTATTTTTCATGGGATTGAGATTGCAGGTTGAATTACTCCTCTTGGCAGAGATTGACCTAAAGATATTTAAACATATGGTTATGGGACAGAGAATATCATGGAACTATCCGTTTTAATTTGCACTAGAAAACCAGGGCAGCCTCTACAGGAGCTATTGGTTTAGTCAGTTTTGTAAGTCTTTAGTCATTAATTCTAAGTATTTGCCTTGTGCCAGCAAGAGCATCCTTGAATGGACTTTTAAAAATATATAAAGCTGCTGTCCTTGAGTCATTAAACCCTTTTATTTCCTGCTTTTCTGTTGAGATTTCGATCCACTTTCTGCAAGGCACAGCCTCATTATAGTTGCTTTGCAAGATCCTATTACTTTCTCTACCATCCTCACTACTTTATTTACTATTTTATCACGTTTTACAATTCTGCTCCTTCCAAATCGTTATTCAATGTAATGTTGGTTTGTAGTTTTTAAACCCAAATGCAGGATCACAAGAAGAACCAGTAAGTTCTTTTTACAAAAGCAAAAAGAATCTGGAAGCGTAAAACTGCAGTAAGTCAGTTGAACATTCTGGTTAGTCTGAGGGTAAAAAACAGACTAAGAGTCTTTTGATGACAACTGATGATTGATTTATTTGGTTACTTGAGAGAAGAAGGGGAGACGGCATGGATCTGTAGGATTTAGTTCAGCTTGCAAACTGTACCTCAGAGGTCCAGGGGAATGTGAGAGAGATCTGAGAGCTTTGGTACTTGCAAGAGACGTTGAAGAGCTAAGGAGTGGGCTGGCAGGTGATGAAGACTGAGAACTGCTGCACACCGGTAAGAACTTTTCCATGAAGATCCGAGATTAACTGAGGTGCACTGGTGGTTTAGGTCTTTGGATGGAATACCATCAGGGCTAATAATCCGGAATAAGAAAAATTATCCTTTGCCTCCTTGTATACACGCTAGTCATCTTGATTGAGAAGTATTCTCAAGTGTGCAGCGACATGAGTTGGCCCAGCCACCAGCAAAGATCCTAACTGTGACAGGAAGCTCACTCACACCAGAAAATCATCAAAACCCCAGAGACCCTAACATTACGCCAGGTTCAAGGACAGCCCGCTGGTGGTGCAGAAGAGGAAGAGCAAGAAGCCCTAAAGTCCCAAACAAGGTAAGAGTCCAACCTAGAAGAAGGAAGGATCAAAGACCATTCCTCAGGTCCATAACCCTCCCAATCGATCAGATACTGAACACCCCTTTCTAGGCGACGAGCCTCCAAAATCCTTCACACAGTGAAGGTCAGGTGCCCGTCAATGCCTCGGGTGGGTAGAGGGGGAATGAAAGGAGGGCAACGAGGACTAGACAGGACTGGCTTGATCAGAGAGACATGAACAACAGGATGAATCTTTAAAAGATCCGGCAGCTTGCGGCAAACCGCGGAACAACCAAACATTGCCTGGATTTTAAATGAACTGTCTCCATAAGAGAGACCATCAGATTCATCGGTCCATGAATCTGATGGAACGATCGGCCAGATGTCAATTTGTTTCCGCTGACCGGTTTAAGGCAGAAACCATCAGGTGCAAGACCCATCTGCTTGACAGAGGCAAGATGACTCAAATGGAGACAGACCAGCAGCAGAGAAAGTGGGACAGTTATGTGCATATGGTCCAAAGGAAACTTAGTACTCCATGAAGTTGGGTGTGATGAAAAGTGGCAGCGAAGGAATAACTCAAACTCCTGGTTGAAGCATTCGGATTGAGCATTAGTTTGGGCTCATATATTAAAGGCCAGCAGAAATTTTGATTAGAGTGTGCAAGAGCTCGGTTGATTCAAGGGTGGCAGGAGAATTTTGCCATGGCCCCAACAATGCAAGAAGGATGAATGATGGTTGAGATATTAGGTACCTGTTCACTGGAGTATGCCCAGTCAGGGTATTAGGTTTGGTGTTTTTAGAGCTTGGATGGTAAGAGCTGACGAAGACGGTTTGCTTCTTTGTGATTCTTGTGGTCAGTCCACAGGGACATACTACAGACCTTACCCAGAACAGACTCTGGGTTCTCTGTAAGTTTGTTGAGCTTCTTTAAGTCAGTTGCTGTTATCTCCAGCAAATGATG